AAATTATTAACCGGCATTTCCTGCCATCACATTTCATCCGGAACTGTTGCCACCGTTTCCCGACGGTCTCTTTTCTGCGTCGCACAAAACATTGTACACAACCGGAAGATGAATTGGAGCTCAGTTAGCCTGAGCTTTACCGATGTTTTATGGTCTTTTCTGGCTCTTTGTTTCCTCGTAGCTTTCTGTGCTCATAAAATCTCACTACACCTGCCGATAAAACATGAAACATGGCGACTTTACGTTTTATTTCAGGATCTTATTCGCTACGGAAAAACCAAACACAGCCTCAAACGAGACGACTGGCTCCGTTCGTTTGACGTGCCAAAAAGGTAAAATGTCATCTAGGAAATAACTTTGCAAACATGATAAAATGTAATACAATGCGTTTATAACTTCTTTGTGTTATTTAATACACTTGTGATATATTCAAATAGCGTTTAGGGGTTTCTTTCATTGTTTACGTCGTAACATCTCAAAACTTTAGATGCTAATTTAGTTGCACAAAGACAACAATCTGAAATTGAGCCTTGTTTCCTTCTCTCAGGTGGTTCTGGCACTTCTATGCCATCTCTGTTGGCTGGAATAGTCTTCTCCTGGCCTTCTACCTGAACCTCATATTTCAGTATCAGTCATACCCATCATGGCTCACTGGAATATTAGACATCTTGACAGGTGTACAAAGCACCAACAGTCAAGGTAGGCTCTTTTCAAAGCTTGTGTGTTTCCCTGTTTGTTTCACACACACCCACTTGTATTCATACTGTCTGCAGTCCCACAGCTGTCTACTCTGCTGGTGCAGCTGCTGCTCTGCGTCCACTCCCTCAGGAGGCTGCTGGAGTGCCTGTGTGTCAGTGTCTTCTCTGATGGAGCCATACATGTGGTGCAGTATGTGTTCGGTGTCTGCTATTACATTGTACTTGGGTTGACGGTGCTCTGCTCGGATCGCTTGGGAAAAGGTTGAACTGAAATCAGTCCTCTTCACATCTGTTCTTCACTGGTTCTGCTGTGTGGTGTTGATGTTTATGCTGTTCCTTCTAGGGACCGGACCCCTCCTCTCTCAGCTGGACTGGTGTCATGTGGTTGGAGCGGCACTTTTTATTGGGGCCTCGCTGATGCAGCATCAGTGCATGATCCTGCTGGCCAGGCTTCGCACTGGCAAGTCAGGTAAACTTGTGCAGCTGTCTTTGCTTAACACTTGAGTTTCTGGGTGTTTTACGACAGATAATGTTGACTTAAATAGTGCTGACCACTTCCTAGTGTATTATAATTATTTCAATCAGGAGAGACTTGCTCTGAGAGAAAAGAATATTTATTTACATGTGTACATACGTATGAGACATGTGAATAAGACATGTGGCAATCAGACCCCATTGTGATGTCATCTCTTCCAGGAGGGTGGTAAAGACCCTAGTCCCTACTCTTTAGAGTAGTAGTTTAGGGAACACCCCCTACGGAGTCTAGATGCTGGTGGTAATTGGATAAAGAAGGAGCTGAGGATCTGGATTTGAAGAGTAGTGGGCTTTTCATGAGCTTGGATAAGGTGACTGGAGGTGAATGGGGTGGAGGCAGGTGTGGAAATTCCGGATAAAATGTCAGCTGACAGGAGCAGAGAGGAGAATGGATTTAAAGTTTGGTAGCACCATGAATGGCTGAAGGTTACAGTGGCAAAATTTGACTAGCGAGGGGAAGGACGCCCACAGTCAACTGATTGGAGGAAGCAGTGGGAGTGGGATAGAGAGAGAATTGTGAATGAATATAGTGCAAAGAAAGTCTTTCCGATTGAACTTACATACTGAAGAAGAGGAAATCCATCACATTAAACATCATATTTGCATATTGTCAAAAATGGCTTGTTGTTGCAGGAAAAATTCTTTAAGGGCACTGATTTTAAAAAATCACAGCGTTAAAGCAATTTCTGACAAAAACTCGAGGCATACATAGCGTTCAACGTTAGATATAAGCTTAGTCATGGATCAATAAAGCAGTCATATTGTTTGATTTTTGTTTTGTGCTGTTGCAATTTACACATCCAGCAGACACAGACTACTCAACATAAGCATTCATTTGGCGGTTGTTTTTGTCTAAAAAAAAACCTCCTGGGAAATTTTTAATGCTTTTAATGCTAAATGCTCAACCATGTTCGCCAGCTAGTCGCTAACTGTGTATGTCTACTGTTTGGTGCAGAGCAGAAAGCATACAGTGGGTTTATTAAAGCGTTTTGTTGTTGACAACAGCTCTCTGCCGCTGCCGGAAATAAGGTTGTATAGAGTGACTTGTGGGCCAAAAAAAAACCCCAAAACAATTACCTAAAAGAGGCCAGAGAGCTCTGTAGAGCTGAAGGGACCTGCAGATTTGGTGATGATACATTGTGGATTCATCACAACCAGCAGCACCTTTCCCACCTTTCACCTTTCTCCTAATAATAGCATAATAATAAACTTTATTTTCATGGTACCTTCGAAAACACTGTTAAAAAGTGCTTCACAATTCAACAGAACATATTTAAAAACATAGAGGATATGAAATGAATTCGGAGCCAAACTTGAGGTACACAGCAGGCAGGTCACTCCAAAGTCTCAGAGCTCTGACTGCAAAGTCTTAATCTGAACCTGTGATTCATATAAACATGCTGACTTGTGAAGCTTCAGCTTAACACAGATACATAATAACCATGTGAATAGTAACATAAACCACTGCTCTACTAGTTAATTGGGGACTGATGTATTTTTCTGTTTGTCGTATTCTGTGGTGTCTTTCAGGAACAGTGGAGACGCTGGCTCACAGGATGCCAGAGGGAGGCTGGTTCGAGCTGGTGTCATGCCCACATTATTTTGCCGAGCTGCTGATCTACGTCTCACTGAGCTTAGCTTTCGGAGGCTTGTCCTTTACCTGGTGGCTGGTTGTCCTTTACGTGCTCTTCAACCAGGCACTGGCAGCACAGCTTTGTCATGAACTTTATATCAGCAAATATGAGTCATACCCAAAGCAAAGAAAAGCTTTTATACCTTTTGTGCTTTGAGTGGTTTTATTTGTGTCTTCAGTTTTGCATTCCTTACTGGGAACTATAAAGCACTAGGAAATGTACGAGATGTCTGAGGATATGAATGTATGGGAGTAAAACACAGTTGATTGACAACGTACTCTCAACTAAGTGAAGCTGCTTAATAGCCAAGAAGACAACACTGACTGTTGTTGACAGCTCCCAGGTGTGAATGAGATGAATGGCGGTGCTGCAGAAACAGTCTTCTGCAGAAAAAGTCTCTCCAGGTGAGAGGTGAGCTGTGTCCTCGAGACTGATGTGAAGAAATGAGGAGTGTCACCACAAATCACTTGTTCATTACAAGACCTTGTTTTTGTTATAATAAGGTATATTCATGTAATAATAAAATGTTTTCTCTGTAATGGGACACAACTTCATCTCCTTGTAATTCATAAGATAAGTTGTTAAAGAAGTTTTAAAGATTTTTTTTTTCACAAAACAAAAAGTTATTTTTAAAACATGGAATCAGACAAATTGAAGCTTTGACTGAATATTTTCTTGTTATAGCAACATATAAAATGTTATTTTATTTGTATAGCATTTATCTGAACAAGGTTACAACGTGCTTCACAAAGTACATGAAAATAAAACAACAATAACTACATAATTTAAAAAGAAATGTGAAGAGCTGAGAAAAATAATGTGTACAGAGGCAAAAATAGAACGAAAGGAAATGAAACACAAAAGTTACACATCAAAAAGTACAAATCAGGGGCATTAAAATGAAAGGCTTTCCTATAAAAATATGTTTTAAGCAATGATTTTAAAAACAGGTAATGTGCTCCCCATCCTAATATCCTCAGGCAGAGAATACCAGAGCCTCGGGGCCTTGATGGCAAAGGCCTGGCCAGCTTTAGTTTCCAACCTCTATTTAGGGAGGACTAGCGAGAGTAGGCTTGAGGATCTTGGGTCACGACTTGGAGCAGAGGTGTTCAGAAGCTCAGCTATATAACTGGGACTGAACCAGGTTGAGCTTTAAAAGTTATCAAAAGAATCTTAAAATCAAACCTGAAGTCAATAGGCAACTAGTGGAGGGAGGCGAGAATTTGGGTGATATGTGACCTAAACTTTGTCCCAGTTAAAGTAGGAACTTTTGTATTCTGCACTAGTTGAAGCCGAGCTACTAAAGATTTACTGTGGCATGTAATCAGTGTGTTACAGTCGTCAAGGTGTGAGAATACAAAAGCATCAACAAACTTTTCTAGGAAAAAAAAATGGAAATAAGTGGGTATGTAACAATAGAGAGAGAAACATGAGAACAGTGTGACAAATTATTTTAGCATAAAAAATAAGCGATTTCGTTATTTTCAAAGATCTCAATATGAGAAACAGCTTTTTCTCCTCATGGTGTAATAATATCCTGCTGTTGTACATGTGTGTTTTTTAATGCTTTTGATTTTGAGGTACGACATGAAATCAATTCTGTTGTAATTAAATACAACAGTTACACCAAATAAAAAAAGGAAAACTGAATGTTTCATGTTTGATTATTTTCTGTATACATATTGTAATTATTTAGTGTGTATTTGGAGTTCTACACTAGGGTCTGAGGAATCCACAAGATAGGGATGTAACTGATTGACTGCAATTGAACCTTTGGTTAAAACAAAAAAACTGATTGTAATATTTTACAGAGCATATGCATTTTTGTATTTAAATATTTATTATTAATTATTCTAATATTTATTTTTAAGTTTATTTACATATTTAAAGCTCATATCTTTCTATTTTGTGACTTGTAGTAACAATCAACCTATCATGATAACTGTTTTTTCCGTGTGTCTTTAAAGCGTTGAACTCAACTCCATGTCCATAAATTTATAACCGACAAGGACACTGTCCAATCACTGAGCCGTCCTGTGCGTACGTCACCTTAAAATATTACGTCACGGTAGCACGGCCCAATCATATCTTTCCAAACGCGGCAGCAAGGTTCTAACTTCCGCCCTGAGTTGGCTCGGTCGATGTGATCGTGACGTGTATTACCGAGGAGTTCCTCAAAATGAACAGCTAGGTGGCTAATATGAAGTTAGCCAGCGTGGTTGCCGATGATATTAAGTGATTGACGGAAGACAAAATAAAGCGCAAACTGTTATTGATTAGTATTTTTGGAAGCCATTATGCCTCTCACGGTCGGCGGAGGAGACCGACGGGCTGATAGAGTGTGCGTCTTGTTTCTGCTCGCCTCCGTGTTGTTGTCGGTCGGAGTTGCTGCTGTTCCAGAGGAGAACAACCCTGTCCAGGAGCAACCTCAACAAGAGGTAAAAGCTTTCACTTCATTACAACCAATTCAACCTTGTTATCGTCCCCGGTAGAAAACCGTTTTTGACGCCGGTGCTTGCTAGCGCCTCTGAGCTAGCCAGCACATGCTAGCTGATGCACCCACCACATTGTGTTCCGGGTGCAGCTCAAGTGGGTAAAGTTAGTGATTCATTTTTAGATCCTGCCAGCAAAGCAAATGTTTAAAGGAAAGTTTAGACAAGGTGACAGACGTGGGAATATGTCCTGAGAGCGTTGTTATTGGCAGGCTAAAATACTTTTATCAGAAAAAGGTTTAAGAAAGACAAATGAGTGGATCCACTTATTTACACACATTGAGAGAATTACATATTAAAGGGGAGCTACTCCCATTTTCAAAATTCATACATGTTATTCCTGTGATCCAAGACAGTCCAAAAAATGAAAATAAAAAATAATTAACATGAACAACTCTCTCCCAAATCCTAAAAACTAGAGTGCTAAGACTCAAATTTGTGATGTCACCGGACGTAACTAGTCTGGAGATGCTCCTTAAGGCTTAGACAATGATGATGACAGATGCTACCGCTGACACTGAGAGCACCCAGGGCCATGTGTAAGTATATTGCCGCGTTCACACTATGGGCAACCGACTACAAGTCATTGTAAATGCCGACCGGTAACATGACGCCGCAAACTGACGGCCAACACTTGTTGGCATGCTGCACAACAAATGAAAGTTGAGCCGGCCTCAACTTTTTTCAGAGCTTCGAGTTGAGTACATTGACATGCACAGTTAAGTCAAGCTGTGGTGATGTCTTGACTAGACCATTTAATTTGACTACTGTCCTTGTCCCAGTATACAAGCACAGAAAGGGAATTGATGTATTGACTGAATATGTCCGACCCCTCTACAGTAGGTAGCAATATGCCCCCTTTCTGCTTGTCAGTATTGGACTTTTTTCCGGTTGACCTATTACGCCACAGACCATACATTCAACAAACAAGTTAGCATCAGTTAGCTAGTGGCAAACGGGTACCATAGTGGACAAGTGATTGGCTCTATACATTTTGTCCTTCCCAATACGGGAACACATCCCAACTCTGGATGTAGATTTCACCATTTTGTTACGGGCTTCTTCTGTTGCACATTTAATGCTTTCGACTTTAGGTCAAAGCCCGGGGTAGAAGATGTGGAGCAGAGCACCTCAGCCAGTTTAGGTTGGATTGACTGTATACATGCATTATACAGTAATTCAGCTCTCAGTCACATTATCCGGATGTGTTGGTCTGACTTTGAGAAATTTGATTTAGGACAATTTCAGTCGGACTAACGCAGTTACATGTATTTTAGAAGTCAGGTTTTAGTCGGACTGACACAACAAATTTGAGGTGTTTTGTGGCCAGTTGCAGACACACTCAAGCCTGTGACTATGCAGCTACCATAATAAGCACTTGAGCAACACTTCCACGGCGACTTAGCAATGATGTAGCTGATAGCAGTCTTGCTGTGTCACTCGTAGTGTGAACCCAGCACATGGTGACATTTTCTGTGAGACCACAAAATCAGGCTCCCTTTCATTGTCAATGGAGCATCTCTTGACTTTTGGTGCCTTCGTTTTGTACTCGGAGGTCAGAAATTCCCAGTTTCCAGTCGGAAGTTTAAACTTGAACGCACCCTGAGATCGGATTTCCAACTCGGAAACTCGGAGGAACCGCATCAACCCCGAATTACGAATTCAAGATGGCTGCCGGTCACATACATAGTGAGTAAACAGTGCTAAAGAACTCTTTATAGCAATTTTATCTTATTTGTTTTACATTAGGTCAGCCTCATCTGCAGTGTTCATCAGTTGGAGTGCATGATGGTTTTGAAGCTGTCTATATTCCGAAAGTGCAAGGGCAACAAATGCTTTTTTGCAGGCGTTCATGTTTTTTTCCGACTTGTCCACCGTGGTCAACTAGAATGCAAAAACTGTTGTCAGCTCAGAGGTGACGTCATTCCCACTTCCGACTTCCGACCTCCGAGTACAAAATGAATACAGCATTTATATGCTACGATGTCACAACTTTGATACCTACTTATGTGGTTTCTGGCTTTGAGAGAGTGTAGCTTATCTTCACAAATATTGACTACACTTTCCAAGGCCATGGAAATAACATACTGGAATTATGAATTTGGTTGTTGTTCCCCTTTAACAAAGACCTCAAATTGATATCATTGATGAAAATTGTTCAAAAAGGCTGACCCATGTGTCAACTAATGTTATGAGGCCTGATTTTGTATAGCAGTAATATACTTAAGGTGAGGGTATATCCTCTGATTTGAAATAATCTTCCTTTTCTCCAAGTGCATAATAATTAAGGGTTCTAATGCAGCTATTCACATTCAACTTAGACCAGTCGTTGGTATTAACTCAATAAAACTGGGCAGATAAAGAAATCATAACATCCCTATCAATGAAAAGACTTACGTGCGATAAAGTGGTGTGACACAGGAAAACAATTGAACACTTCAACTGAAATGTATCTAATACTTGCTGCAGAAGCCTTTGTTTGCTACGACAGCATCAAGACACTTCCTGTACGAGGAAACTAATCTCTCAAAGGTGGGACTTTGGTTCATTCCTTAAAAACCGAAGGGGACCCGCTGGTGAATCTTCATCTTCAGTTCCTTTCACAACTGCTCTTTCGGGTTTGAGTTGGTGATTGACAGGTCCATTCACACACCTTTATTTTCTTCCTCTGGAACTGATTGACAGCATTCTTTGCAGCAGGAATATCCACCCACGTCTCATCCTCATCATCCTGGTGGATTATAACATATTTTTGTCAAGAATTTCCCGATACATGGCTCTGTTTATCTTTCCATCAGTAATTTGCATTCTGCCAGTACCATGAGAAGAAAAACAACTCATACCATGATGTTTCCACCTCCAAACTTCCTGTAGGGGTGGTATTCTCAGGGTCATATGCAAAGCCATTTCTCCTCCAAACATGGCAAGCTACTTCTTGCAGAGAAGTTTGGTTTTCGTCCCGTCTGACCACACTGTGTTAACCCTGTAATTAGCAGACTCGTCCAAACGAGCTGCAACGTGCCTTTTTTAGTAATGGAGTCTTCTGGAGTGACTGTGCACAGAGACCATTGTAGTGGAGTGTGTTCCCTTTTGTTTTCTCTGTGATGTCTTCTGGAGTTCTTTCCAAGTGGTCTTATCAGAGATATTGGATGAAGCGAGATACCCAACTCAGCTCACTTCCTGATTCAGTGACGTCAGCGCCACGCCCCCGTAGGAGACTTGAGGCAGCTCTGAATGTATTGTCGTCAATGAGGAAAATGAACGTGATCACAATTTATTGTCAATTCTTTAGCCCTGTAGTCACTAAAGTAAATATTGGGTTCATTTTCCACAAGCCACACATCTTACCAACATTCTGACGCTAAAGCTGCATTTTTCATCCGCACAGATCAAGAGAAAGTTAACTTTATTTGAGCCCTGTCCATCTCAGAAAACAAGTTCTCGCGAGATCTCTTGATCTTGATAAACAGGCGGTAAAATCACAGTTAGCTTACAAACAGTTATTTACCGCTAGTAATAAATAAAAAAATGCCCAAGCTTTGTGCAACAATAGGCTGCAATAATAGGAAGAATGTATTTTCATTCCACCTGCTTCTCGATCTGCATACACAGACATCCACAGAGCCTCTGTTCAACACGGTGGTGGGGAGGGGGGGGGGTTGAGGGAGAACAGGCTCTGATTGGAGGGAGAGCTAACCACGCCCACTTAGGAGACAGGAAGAGTAACCGTTTTTTTAACATTGGATAAGCCTACAGTTGGGTATCTCCCTTCATCCAGTATCTCTGGTCCTATGCGTTAGTCTTCTCACTATTTTTCTGACTACCCAATGGGAAAACTTGCGAGCAGCTCCTGTGCGTGGTCGGTTGATGGTGGAGCAGTGTTCCTTCGACGTGCAGGTAAAGGCCCCAGTAGTGCTCATGGGAACATTCAGGTGTTGAGAAATCTGTTGGTTACCAGTGCTGCTGATATGTTGCTCAACAGTGTTGTTGCAGAAGTCTTGGTGGGCTCTTTGCCTCCACTCATCATGAGGCATCAGTGGAATCAGCTGTTTGACGCTTTCTCTGATGGTCCATTAGATACTTTTTTGCCCGTGTCATTCGACTTTATTGCACATAACTTTTTTATGGGTTGAAATGTTACACTTTCTCTATCTGTGCAGTTTAATTGAGTTAATACCAATGCCTGCTCCAAATTTCAAGTGATTAGCTGCATTGGAAATACCTTAAAATTAGAAAAGTTGACATGTTGAATTCTTATTCCCCCCGCTGTACGTATATATATATATATATATACGTATATGTATATACAGTACAGGCCAAAAGTTTGGACACACCTTCTCATTCAATGCGTTTTCTTTATTTTCATGACTATTTACATTGTAGATTCTCACTGAAGGCATCAAAACTATGAATGAACACATGTGGAGTTATGTACTTAACAAAAAAAGGTGAAATAACTGAAAACATGTTTTATATTCTAGTTTCTTCAAAATAGCCACCCTTTGCTCTGATTACTGCTTTGCACACTCTTGGCATTCTCTCCATGAGCTTCAAGAGGTAGTCACCTGAAATGGTTTTCCAACAGTCTTGAAGGAGTTCCCAGAGGTGTTTAGCACTTGTTGGCCCCTTTGCCTTCACTCTGCGGTCCAGCTCACCCCAAACCATCTCGATTGGGTTCAGGTCCGGTGACTGTGGAGGCCAGGTCATCTGCCGCAGCACTCCATCACTCTCCTTCTTGGTCAAATAGCCCTTACACAGCCTGGAGGTGTGTTTGGGGTCATTGTCCTGTTGAAAAATAAATGATCGTCCAACTAAACGCAAACCGGATGGGATGGCATGTCGCTGCAGGATGCTGTGGTAGCCATGCTGGTTCAGTGTGCCTTCAATTTTGAATAAATCCCCAACAGTGTCACCAGCAAAACACCCCCACACCATCACACCTCCTCCTCCATGCTTCACAGTGGGAACCAGGCATGTGGAATCCATCCGTTCACCTTTTCTGCGTCTCACAAAGACACGGCGGTTGGAACCAAAGATCTCAAATTTGGACTCATCAGACCAAAGCACAGATTTCCACTGGTCTAATGTCCATTCCTTGTGTTTCTTGGCCCAAACAAATCTCTTCTGCTTGTTGCCTCTCCTTAGCAGTGGTTTCCTAGCAGCTATTTGACCATGAAGGCCTGATTGGCGCAGTCTCCTCTTAACAGTTGTTCTAGAGATGGGTCTGCTGCTAGAACTCTGTGTGGCATTCATCTGGTCTCTGATCTGAGCTGCTGTTAACTTGCGATTTCTGAGGCTGGTGACTCGGATGAACTTATCCTCAGAAGCAGAGGTGAATCTTGGTCTTCCTTTCCTGGGTCGTCCTCATGTGTGCCAGTTTTGTTGTAGCGCTTGATGGTTTTTGCGACTCCACTTGGGGACACATTTAAAGTTTTTGCAATTTTCCGGACTGACTGACCTTCATTTCTTAAAGTAATGATGGCCACTCGTTTTTCTTTAGTTAGCTGATTGGTTCTTGCCATAATATGAATTTTAACAGTTGTCCAATAGGGCTGTCGGCTGTGTATTAACCTGACTTCTGCACAACACAACTGATGGTCCCAACCCTATTGATAAAGCAAGAAATTCCACTAATTAACCCTGATAAGGCACACCTGTGAAGTGGAAACCATTTCAGCTCATGGAGAGAATGCCAAGAGTGTGCAAAGCAGTAATCAGAGCAAAGGGTGGCTATTTTGAAGAAACTAGAATATAAAACATGTTTTCAGTTATTTCACCTTTTTTTGTTAAGTACATAACTCCACATGTGTTCATTCATAGTTTTGATGCCTTCAGTGAGAATCTACAATGTAAATAGTCATGAAAATAAAGAAAACGCATTGAATGAGAAGGTGTGTCCAAACTTTTGGCCTGTACTGTATGTATTTATTTTTTGTTTATTCAAGAGATACGACCACAATATGAAGCTAGCAATGACAGACAGCTGTGTGTAACTGACTCACTGTGCTGCTTTTATTTTTGCAGAAAGCCTCAAGTCCCCATCCAATAGGCCCTGTAGTCTCTGAGGATGACTCCAGCAAAGGAAACCTGGGTTTCATCCACGCCTTTGTGGCCTCCATCTCTGTCATCATCGTCTCTGAGTTGGGAGATAAGACATTTTTCATCGCAGCCATCATGGCCATGCGATACAACCGTCTCACCGTGCTGGCAGGTGCCATGCTCGCCCTGGGACTCATGACCTGTCTGTCTGGTTAGTAGAAGTGGATGTTTTGGTTTTGCGGACTGTGCTGTATGTGTTGTTATCCCTCCATCTCTTGCTGAGTAATAATGACGTCATTGTTGTATCCCACCCCCAGTGCTGTTTGGCTACGCCACCACCATCATCCCTAGAATCTACACATACTATGTGTCCACTGCGCTATTCGCCATTTTCGGTGTACGCATGCTGAGAGAGGGGCTGAGAATGAGTCCAGATGAAGGCCAGGAGGAGCTGGAGGAGGTCCAGGCAGAGATCAAGAAGAAGGATGAAGAGGTGAGCCGACTTTTTGATTTAAGACCTAGGGAGACACTCTTATCCTTTGCAGATCAGGTAGTACAACTGCAGGTGACTTTAAGCCATTGTTATTAAGACATATATGATTTATATAAGCAGCCATATAAACACTTTCAACTGGTAGCAGATCGTCGATTAAGATATACCCGATTACGATATACCCAAGGGGAACTTTTTTTTTTTTACTCTGTTATACACACACAGGCCTGAAATACACACACATGCACAAACAGGATCTATACATGCATGGTCAGGCACTGGGGCAGTTGGGGGTTTGATGTTGCTGCCCACACTAGTCGGTACCAGCATTACTGGTCAGTTAAACTTGTTATCAAGTTACCAAGAGGGAAATGGGAGGAGTTCAGATTGGCATGGGAGCTGCTCTTATCACCAACGGCTCTCCCTTCTCTCTCTGAGTGTCTCTCTGTGTCTCTTAAAGACACACACAAACACACAAGTGCTCTCACACTCAAACACACCTGTGTCAGCTTGGTGTCCTCTCACTTGGCTGAACAAGAGAGGTGTTTAGACTTGTCATTTGTTGGGCGCACGGGAGTTCCTGAGAAGCCTGGATGAGTGTTTGTTTGTGAGTGTGTGTGTGTGTCAATAGACTTGTCTAAATTTAAACTTCCCTACTTTACCACCAGGACTGCTCTGTCATGGTGTTGCAGGTAATCTATTATTTGCACATGCAAGGAGGTCGTACTGAAACGATGCATTTCCTGTGTCATTGTTAAAGTTTAAATGTGAAAAAGACTGAGTCCAAAGTTAATATAATAACTGGTTTGGAGCGTTGAAGCCATTTTTATCAGCAGGCTGTCTGGGATTATGGGGCTTTTACTGTTTCAGTCACATCTTTTAGAGATCAAAGTGAAGTTTCCCAGAGAGATCTGCCTGAGGTCTCATGATTCGACTAACTGATCTGCTGTAATAAATGCTTCTAATTAAATGGGAATCCTATCTGTTATGGGTGGCCACGTCTCTGAACTTTGTTCTTATCTGAAACTGCACCATTAAGGCCCTGTGTCCATCAAAGCACTTTTTCCAAGCTAAAAATGCAAAGTGCTACTCTGGCTGGAAGCACCTGAGAGCACTTTGGAGACACTATGATATGGAATATCCACAGACGTAAAAATGTCGGCACAAGATAGAGTATTTGCTGAGGAGGGAGGGAAGGCTGAAGCATGTATGGAGAGCAGACAGACCCATGGGTTCATGAGAGGAAACGTATTTTAATATATGTTGCGTTACAGTCGAAATAATACGTCTGGACTGATGCTCAAATGCAGTTTATTCCGTTTTGAAATAACTCATCGACCAACCTAAGAGCTGAACAGAAATTGCACAAACAGAAGACAAAAACATTGCATTAAACTCAGCTCAGAAGTTACCTTTCGTCAATTTCCGTCTGCAACCTCTGTGTCTACAGTCCCTCCAAAATAAAAGCACATAAATACATCACAAATGCAAAGTTAACATGTCAACTGCTGAACATGGGGGTCATTTACAATATATACACAGTATATTAACATATATCTCCTCCTTTGTTGTCCTGTACTTGACCATGTAAGATGTGACGGCTGGTATTCGTGGTATTTGTCCCTGTCTCCACTGAGATTGGACAGCTTAGTGAAAAGTGGCAGTGACAAGTGCAGCGTTTTATCCACAGTTTAATATTTATAAATCTTGATGCTCAGGGAAAAAAAGCACCAAACCAGCAGTGCTCAGTGTAGAGTAGATGCTCATTGCCTTGTCACACTGCTGGTATTTGTAGTACGGCAGAAATACACACCGTTCAAAGTCAAAGAATTTTAAAAAAATGTCCGGACGTCAGGGAAAAAGCTTTGGTGGACATGGCCTTAAAAGAGCAGCCACTGAAGCATTAACTTATCCTGCCATAGATAGAACCAAAGGTTTCCCAGATGATTAATAAAACCTCTAATCAACTCTAATCTACTGTCCCCTAAAGTAGGTGAATCCTGACGTTTGTCTCGTGGCAGGTGCTGTGTGTAAGAGAGTGAAAATACTGCCATGTTTCAATATGTAAATGGAGCACTACATCCTGTGTTTTAGTAAAAGCACGTTGTCTTCTGTCATCTGTGCAGCTCCAGCGCTCCAAGATGGTTAATGGGACTCCAGATGTGGAGGCGGGATCAGGGAATACCATTCCTCAGGGAAAGTGGCACAACTTTATCTCACCCATCTTCATCCAGGCCCTCACCCTCACCTTCCTGGCAGAGTGGGGGGACCGCTCGCAGCTGACCACAATTATTCTGGCTGCCCGTGAGGTTTGTAACACATTAACTCTGCGGCACATGCCTGTGTGTTTTGATGCTATTTATAGTCCGTCTTACATTGTGTAGTGTGTCTGGATTTTCTCCTGGGTGGCCCGACTGCAGAACAAAAACAAACCTGTGTTTTTTTAGCCACTCCACAAAAAGCAAATGCTCCTCACTGCTGTGATCATACAGTTAATTAAACATTTCAGGAAGGCAGTGTATCATTTTCTTTAACATTAACACGAAAGCCCTTTTTTTAAATTCCCAGGATCCATTTGGAGTTGCAGTGGGTGGTACACTTGGACACTGTATGTGTACAGGACTGGCTGTGATAGGGGGGAGAATGATCGCCCAGAAAATATCTGTCAGAACAGGTGAGACTGCTTTTTAAAAACACAAGATTTATTTTATCTGATTTAATGTTACAGTTCATCCTTAACGTGTACTTTGCTGTGATTATATTTGTTGAATAGAGACTTTAAAACACAGTGGATTTCATTTTTGAAACATGTATAGACACAGTTTAGGTCTCAACACACAGATTAAGAATTTTTATGTTATTGAAGTTTTATGTTGTAAAATACAGAGTTGTAGTTACGTTTCCAAATAGTTCTGGTGTCAATTTAACACTTTAAAGTCTTGTTTAACATTAAAGACTGATATTAGTAGCTGTTAGCACACTTGAGGAACATGCTTTGAGATATTATTTGAATTGTTATTTATCCAATTTTAATGCCTGAAATCTGGAGCGTCTGTTTCTCCAGTGCTGGCAGGCGTCTGTTTAAAGGTGCGGTACGCAATTCTTGAGAACGAATTGATTGAAGTAGCAACATGTCCACAGATAGAAGTTGGACAGTACTGTGTGTACAACAGATTTAATGACACAAAAATAAAACAGAATTGCAAATAAAGACGATATAACGACAGTTTTCACTGCTTTTGATGCACAGAGCAGCCATCTTGGATTTTGAGGTTTAGGTAGGTGAGATTCTTCAGACTTTCTGAGTCGGAAATCTGACTTCAGGGGCGTTCTTGTTGAAATTTCTGATTGGGAAATGGAATGCATCATCATTGGGGTCTTCAAATACAAACACTTTGGGTTGGTTTGGTCACACCAAACCATTGATCCAAATTGTTGGTATTTAATTACCTGGGAATGACACTCAACAATCAACTGCCTTTTCAGAATCGCATACTGCACCTTTAATTAAACTTCAGACTAGAACTCATCTTTGTGAGTCATGTTCCAGTGTGCTCCTTGGTGGCCTTCATACTGCACCTCGACAGATTGAAATTTTAGGTTTTTATGATTCTGCATTAATGACTGTTACGCCCCATCCTTGCCCTGCCGTGTGGGGCAAACAAAGCTCCACCACTGACTCAAAATAACCACAAAACATGTTTTAAAACAATCAGATCCGTGGGATTTGTTAATAAAAATCCTACAAACAAGGCAATAAAATCCCAGGCTGAGAGGCAACAGGACCAGCAGTCCCCACACCACAAGCCTCTCTCCTCTGCTGCTAATACAGCTCTGAAACACCACCTTCTCTTGCCAGGTGCAGTGCACTTCGTTAAGCAATGCAGCACACCTGGGCAGGTCTGCAATGTAGGGAAAAGGGACAGCAGCACAGAAACAATACATACCAGCAACATGCTTTCGGGCTCTCAGTTTCCTGGAGCGAGTTGTTATCCATCCGTTAATGTTTGCATAACTCGTCCTGGTCAGTGTGTAAACAAAGCGACCAAAGCAGTTCAAACATTATTTCACCTCTGAGAGCACCAAGACCAGCTGTGAGATCTCTGCAGCAGTTTGGTTTATGAGTGCTAATGACAGATTGTCCAGGGAGACCCATGAAGTATAACTTGATCCTGTTTGGAAAGTAATTCAGAGAAAGATGTAACAAATTAGTGGTCTGTACACATTGTTTGTCTTGTAATGCATCCCATAATTATTTTTTGTTTGTTTTGCTTCCACAGTTACAATCATCGGAGGGATTGTTTTTCTGGCGTTCGCCTTCTCTGCCCTGTTCATTAAACCAGACGCTGGATTTTAATTGGACGAAAGACTTTCAGGTTTTCTCTGTACATACGTGTAAAATTTGGTTAAGTTGCTGTAGAGAGACTGTAGTTTTGACTCTGTATGTGTCCAGCAGACAGTGTGACGGGCTGAACAGAGAATTCCTGTCCTCTCCTAGCTAGCCTCTGTTCCACTCTGTAACTCAGTGGGTTTTCTCCTGGAGGTTTGAACTCTTACACATTATTTTGTTACCTTTAAATAACATTTAGTCGATGTTATATCTTTATCAAGTACAGATAGTAAGATACAGGTTGAACTTAAAAACACAAAGCCCTGGAAACTTGACATTAAAGAGCCTCAGTGAGAGGAAAACATTGAGCTACAGAGGCTAGCTCGGAGTGGTGGTGGTGGGGGGGGGGGGGGGGGGGGGGGGGGGGGGGGGGGGGGGGGGGGGGGGGGGGGGGGGCAGGGGGCAGGGCCGAAGCTCTCCGTAAGAGCTGGATTCTCACCACAAGGTGTGTGAGAGAAAGAAGACTGGTCTGTTACTGATTGCTGCCCTCCAACCCTCCGACCCATCTCTAAAAGGCTCTGTGGCCCCGAAACAGAGACTGACATGCAGTACTTCCTTCACACTCAGCCTTCAGTAAGACACTGAGTCCATTTAAATATCTTTCCTTTTTTTTGTTTTTAAATGTTGAATGTTTTTTGTTTATTTGACATGAGCGTGGATGCTGTCAGGTGGCTGCTGACGGATTCTAACTGCGGCCAAGCTGCCAGTTTGCTCTCACTGTATAAGAGTTGGCTTGTGATGCTTGGTTGTTTGTTCCATCTTCCTCTCTGGGTGACATCTTCTGCCACAATGCATTAAAATCAGCGAGAAGAAGAAGCAAGCCTACTATATGTAAGATTTTAATTTCCCAGTGTGAGGAACAACACTGAAAACAGACCCAGCAGCACATAATTAAAGGAACAGTACACCTCCACATGATCAGTTGTATATCAGTTACTTGCCTCCAGAGAATGAAGAATCCAAAAACTTTTTTTGATGAATTAAAGTCTTGTGCAGTATGATCCAAGTCTAATTGATCCAGCGGTATGCTCAGTACTTCCCAAACAGACAGCCTGTTACGATGGGGAACGGAACAGAAAGTATAACTTATCTATTCTCTCTTCAAGCCAGACTCCATTGACAAAACCAGTAATTTTACCTCGCTGAACACAGGAGCTGCTGGTCTGCCACCGCCTCGATCTGTGGTTTGTTTGTGTTGTAGTGTGACTTTGGTGAATCCAAACTAACTCTTTAAAACACCAAAGTCACACAACAGCACAAACAAACCAACAGTGGTAGACCAGCAGCTCCTGTGTTCATCAAGGTAAAATTACTGGTTTTGTCAATGGAATCTGGCTTTTAAGTTTCACTCTCTGTTCAGTTTTAAATAGTAAGATTTTAGCTAAATTACATGTGTTTGGGAAGTGCTGAGCATATGACTGAAGAAATGAGACTTGGATCATACTGCGCAAGTTGTGTGAGAGTTTGTAAATTGATGTTTTGGTATAGTTTTGCTGTTGTTAAACACGGACCCCTATGACTTCAATTCACCAAGAATTTTCTCAGTTTTTGGATTTCTCCTTCACTATGGAGGCCTGCAAGAAAAACAAAGATTTCTGCACAAATCCAGTGTAACATGGGGTTAGTAACTGACAGACAAATGCTTATGTGGTGGGTGAAGTATTCCTTTAAAATCACAAACTCAGCAGGTCTACTATATGTAGGACTATACTATACTATATGTATATGTTTTAATTTTCCCAGCGTGAGGAAAAAACACTAGAAACAGAACCAACAGCACATAACTGGGAGATAGTTTTTGAGATCTGATTTAACTTGGGATTTTCATCATTAAGATATTTCTTTCACATAGGAGCAGTATTTTTAAGAGACAAGAGACCTGAACCACTAAAATACCTCTGCATCCAGGTGTCGCCATACCTATGTTGGATTATCTGCATCGGTTCAGTGCCCAGAGAGCTGCACCACTGCTTAAAATATCTTGTGTGCACCTCCTCTAAAAGACTAATCACATATTGGAGATATTGACTGGGATACTTAATAATTCTTGCTTCCAGTTTCAGGTGCCGATAGTGAACAAAATAAGTATCAGGTTGAAGACAGGCCAGTAGTCACCGCTGCAGATTCTCCCACTCTATGTCAGTGATTAAAGCCATTATGTACGAACCTCCTTGCCTCTAGTGTTGTTTCCCTAAATCACAAAATCAATAGTTACATCAGGTACAGAATCAATGAGTCACCACCGTGTAATTTTCTCCTATTGAAAACATTCAGTATAAGTCACTCCTTTAGCCATACGCAGCTGTTGTAGCCACAGCGACACCTGAACACGGCGATGTAATTCAAGCCTACGTTTCACCTTTTTAAAGTGGCATGTATTTATTTAGCTTCATTTTCTTTCCTTTTTAAGCACTTGTACTGTAGGAATAGAGCGGGCAGGGGAGGTCACTATAAACAAGGAATGGAAATATTTTTTTAAAGTGAACAGGCTAAAAGCTGCGTTGTCAATATTTGACAGGCTGTGCCCAGCTGTGAAATACTTCTGTTTGTGATACAGGTCGGTTGAAATGCCTATGAATGCAAAATGCTCAATAAAAGTGTTTCATGTGTTGACTGATTTCTGAACTTGTCGTTTGTGCTGCGTTGTGTTGAGCTGAGTGGACACATTGAGGACAGCTGCTCTCAACCTTTCCTGTATCAGGGACCTGCAGATTGACTTCAAGGACCTCCATCTGAAAACAGTTTGGTTATTTTAATATGACTAAAACCGGAAATCGAGTTGCTAACTACAGTTTAGCTCACATTGCGCTTCCTTCTGCAGTGAATTGAATAGTGAAAATAAATGTTTTCACATTTTTCTGGCAGTCCAGCCAGCAGAGGAAAATGTTGGCATAGTACGTTTCTGCAAAGAGTACGTTATATTTGCATGTTACATATTGCACTACCTTTGTGGATGGTAGATAGCAAGTGACCTATTCTAAGTGCTATACCATAGGCAATTGGACTTGAGTTCGTTGAAGATGTCTCATCTCTCACTCAAGAGGCTTCTTCAGTTCTAACAGACTGGTGCAGAGTTGCAAGCTTTAAACTGTGTGGGTGTGATCCCTTACAGAGTCGTTAAGGTCACATGAGTCATTAACACACCTGGCCATCATGTGTGTCGTTGGGGTTAGATGGGTCCAGGTGTGAATGGGTGTGAAGTCGTCTGGGGAGGGATCTCAAGACTGTCGTAGGCCACCTCCTCTGCTTAACAATGGTTGTTCCAGCTTTTTTCACGCCCCTTCAAACCATTTCTTCTCTGGCTGAGACGAGAATATTGCTGTCCTTGAAAGAATGTCCCTTCTCCTTTTAGATGTAAGTGGACAGCTGAGTCTTGACCTGACGTGCTGGCTCCACTGTGCTGTCCTTAGGGTGAACCTCACCAACATGTCACCTAGGCGAGACACCTGCCAAGCTGTAGGCCACTGTTCAAAACCCAGGGTTCCCTTGATCATGGAAAACCTGGAAAAGTCATGGAATTTTACAATCACTTTTTCCAAGCCTGGTTAAGTTATTAAATTATTGAAAGTCTTAGAAGTGATAGGATTTTGTTGTGTGTAATATCTTTTGTGGCTAACCCTCCAAGTAATGTAACGTATCGGCCAATGAATTTTCTTTAGCTGTCGACTTAATGAAGCTCTAATATGCGTTGATATGTGACATTTTGTTTACCATCAGGTATTCTGCTGGGGTTAATGCCTCTCCTCCTGTATGCTAACCAGCTGAAATTATGTTTGAATAGAGGTCAAATCCAATATGTTCGAAAAACTCCTTGCAAGTGGGGCGAGTAAAAACAAAAGTCCTTATTATGTGTCCTTAAAAACATGGAAAAGTTTGTGCATGACAATCTGTGGAAACCATAAAAGCAGCGTCTCTTTTTTCAGCAGCAAGTGTACCCCAAAAATATGACCTCTTTCCTAACCATAACCAAATTGTTGCCTAAATGTAACCACACATTATTCGCAGCACAGTAAGTTTCAACATATCCACTACATATATTGTACAAATGCTAACGTATGTGTAGGTCTAATTATTTAAATTTTAAAAATCGGTATGAAGCTTTAGACACGTAGTTTCATTGACTAATGATCTCTATCACTGATGTCATTGGTCTCACTGATGGAACATAATTCCTGTAGCCTAATATTGGGGATTATATGTTAATATTTCTGAGTGAGCAATGGTGCAGCATTTCAGTGTCTTTAAATTTACTACATTTGTAGCTGAAATAAAGTCACTGAATGCTGTTGAGTCAAGATACAAATAGATGTGCAACATTTTTAAATCTACTGTATTTTAACCTTAACATCTTTTCAAGTGCAAATCACCAAACATATTATTACTGGGTCAGACTGTGAGTTTACAGTCATGTCTTTATGTCTTTGATCTATAGCCTAGCCTATATGTTTTAAATCTTCTGCCTCCTGTGTTTTTCCCCATCAGATTAAATCTGAACAAATATATTATGATATATTATTAATATAATGTAATGTATCTACAGCCTGATACATAGTCAGATTCCACCACTTTATCTTCATTAAGGAAATGTAAGTCTGATAAATGATGAATAAACTTTTTTATTAACTTTATGGTTAACTTATTTACACTTTCCTCGCTCTGACTCAGGCTCTTCTTTTAAAGATAAACGTGCACCGTCTGCTACACATGCATTAATATCTCTACATCCACTGGATTAAAATGGAGGTGCTGTCTTTTATTTACCTGTTGCCATGGTGAATCGTGGAGTCGGAGCTCCATTGATGATGGCTTTTTATTGTCGGCTTAACTCAGAGTAAACATACTCAGAGTTGACTGAACTAACTCAAATCAGCTGTTCTGGAACCGGTAACTCAGAGTTTCCCATCTCAGGGTAATTCAACTCAGAGTTCAGGGTTAGACTCAGAGTTTGTTGAACCTCCTACCTGGAATACCCCTCTGGTTGAGAACCACGGATTTAGGAGAGCAAGTAAACAAGGTAACAACAACAACAACAACAACAACAACAACAACAGTATTTTCATTACAGTTTTATTTTAAAATTGAAGGGGGGCAAACGATTGATACATTTGCCTTAAAAGGTTATTTAATGTTTAATTTATGGATGGTTTGGCTCAAGAAATAAAGTGCAAATCAGTGAGGGATAGCTTATTGAGAGGGTGGGACTATTTCACATCATCTCTGAGAATGTGGTGTCAGATCTAAATTTATTTCCAGTCAAACAGCTTCAAACTGGAGATTAAAAAAGGCGTTAGACCTCAAACTGACCAGCAGGTGGCAGTAGTGGATGTGAGGAGAACAATA